CGGAAGAGACTAAGGGGGCCAACGTACTAAATGCAACAGAGGATCCTGGAACAGGAAAAGAACACTAGTAAGACAATTAGTGGGATCAGGATAAAACTGTGGCTTAATTAGTAATAACATACCATGATAATTTTCTAGTTTTGATCATTGGTCTGTGGTTACGTACCAATGATCAAAACTAGAAATGGGGTGAAGAAAGAAGAAATGGGGTGAAGGGGATACAAGAATTCTTTGTACTGCTTTTGCCACTTTTCTATACATCCAAAACTATCTCCATTCTGGGAGATGGAGGGTGGGGAACGGTGTTACCTTGGGGGGAAAATCCAACAAGGAAAGTCAGCCAGATGATCACTGCACAATTCTGCCATAAGAATTTAGGCGCTGTAATATTAAGCTCCGTAAATTACGCTCCCACCTTATACTTTCAGGGAACAAAGCGCCAACAACTGGACCATTCAAAAACAACATGCTGTGTTTAACGTTTTTATTTTTAACTCTGCTTTGGTAGTACAAAAGTCATAAAAGTACAAACCAGACAGTTAAAAACACACTTGACACTCAAAAGGGTGAAAAATTTCCTTTACAAATTTTTACATCAAGGTGGTAGCCAACTCGTTTATTACACCAGGAGTTACTCCATCATTAGTGTTTTATAGCGTAAGTTTGTTGTGGATCCCCAATCCTTCTGAAGAAGGAGGAAAAACGCAAAGCCTGTAAACATCAGTTGCTTTGGGAACACTTAAGAATTCTTATTAAATAACAGAAACCAGTAAAAAGCTTGTGTGTTGAAAACATTGAATGCTTAACTTTTGGCATATTTGGAAGCTAGCCAGACAAAACCTGCTCAAGTAGTAGAAAATATTTAAAATGTACTCTTGGTATAAATACAATTTTAAATATTTTTGAGTATTCTCTTGCCTATTGTATTGCTATTTTTAAAAGTACTCTGACCTGAATAAAATTTAAAAATAATTAAAGCTGAAGAGTTTTATCCCTATTTTGGGGGCATAGCTTTTAAATGAACAAAAAATATGATTTTTTTTTAACTAAAAACTTTTGGTCTAGAATATATATATATACATATATACGTATATATATATACGTATATATGTATATATATACGTATATATGTATACACACACACACACACACACACACACATACATAATTTACACTAATACACATCCCCAGAATTCCTATTATTGCTACTTTCTGGATCTTGGTGAAATTTATTTCCATACTGACTTCCTCTATGCTCCAATCCACCATGTGTGTGTGTGTGTGTGTGTGTGTGTGTGTACATATACATATATATATATATCTTTTAATTAGTTGTCAGTAAAAATTCACATGAAATTAAACCTACCATTCATTCAAAAGGTTAAAAACTTTTAGTTTGATGCCAGAAACAGAACAGAATGAGTATATTTACAGTAAATACTTTAAAGTACATTTTAATGGAAATCATCTTTTGGGAGTCAAATGAGAAATCTGCCCTTTCTCTCTGAAATAAAAGAAGTGCCCCGGGCACCACAGCAACACTGACCAGGAAGCAAGTCTCAGAGATGCCCTGTGAGTGGACCCTTCACCCCTTGGCCCAGATCGACCATAAATGTACTATGATCTTTGCCTCGACATTCTTTCAGGTGTTTCATAAAGTGTAAGGATATTAAAAAAAAAAAAAGGCAGAGTTTTCCAAGCCCAAAGGGTAAATAACCACCAAGAAACTTTTAAGTAACGAGCATTAGTTACAAGATGGAAAACAACAAATGCACCAAGGAAAACCCACTGGAGAAGATGCCAGGCTCATCTTGCTCTGGAGTAGAGAGTTTTTGTTTTGTTTTGACCTTGGGGTTGTCACAACTAAATTTTCTTTGTTTTTATGACTTTAAATCATTTCCCCCTTTATTCAACGGACTAAAGAATTGCTTAGTTCAAGTTAAAATAAAAAGAAATTAAAAACGCAGTATTTTATAAGTGACCTAAGAGTGGCATGGTGGTAGCAGACATCGACACTGAATTTTTGGTCTCAGAATCCAAAATCTGCCAGCCGGCTCCATCTCGCTCTGTGATCTCTTGGGGGATCAGTTTCTCGGGGCCAGACTAGGTTATCTTCAAGGGCCTTTCACCACTGAAGAGTTCTCTTTATCTTTTGTAACAGTTAAACTGTAAGAGGATCTTCTTACAACCAGTAGTAAAATAGGAGTAAGGGTTGGGAGAGCAGAAGCAGTGTGCACACGTGCACACACACACACACACCTCGACAGCATCGGCACAGACTGCACATGAACAGTTCCACTGAACACAGCGATCACACTGAGAAAACCGTAGTGAGTACGTTAAGGCCAGGGATGGCGGATGGGCAGGGGTAGTGGCCGAAAGTGGTGGGGAAGATAAAAAATGAGCTCTTTTCTTCCCTGGAAATGTAATAAATTTTTCAACAGACTTTTTTAAAACCAAAACTTGTTTCAGAGCCAACTGAATTCTGTATCCTGCATAGCAACAATATTCCCTTTTAGCTTTTATCCCAGACTCCACGAGAGAAATCGTATAAAAGATAAAAAATATTCCGTAGGCAACTTCGTATCTCGTAAGTTCTCAGTCTTTTAGAATCTTCAGATAAAGTTGTTCCTGAAAGAGAAATCAAAAAAGGTAAAGCTTTATAGAAGGTAAACATAATATCTCACATTAATCTGCCTGAATATTTAAAAACAGAGAAATTATAATCTGTCCTCACCCAGTCCAACCCCATCCTACAACATTCTTCCCCCACTACATGCTTCTTCTAGAATGCAATCTGAAGAAATTCAAGTACCACAACTTCAAAAGGACCTCATTATCAAGGTTTTATAAATGAAGAAAGAATAGAATTTGAGAACCATAATGGACTAAGGGTGGACATTCTCCCTGTGAGTCATGTATCACCTCTTGGAACAGTGTTCTCTCACTCCTCAGCCACATTCTGGCAAGTGAACACGCTCAGCCACAAGGAATCTTATATGTAGTATCAGGTAAGGTGTTTTTCCCAAGCCACACCAAACAGAGTTAACTAAGGATCTCCCTCGAGCACACAGGGCACCTTGGCCAGGATCTCACTGAGCAAGTAAGAGCACAGTGACGAAATGTCCGATCTTGGGTCTTCGTTGTACCTCAAGGGCTGTGCATGGTATTAACAGTTCTCTCTTTTCTAAAACTTCTTTTGTTTTGATTTTTTTACAAGTCTCATCTAAGTGACAGACAGTTAGATACTCTTTTACTTTCCTGTTTTGAAGGCTGAGATAACCCAAGACGGGACTAAAATTCCAGAGCTGCCTGTGTATGTTGAAACATACACACGATGCAGGCCAACCTACATCAGGTTAAAGAAGAAAACATTCTGTTGTCTGTCACAAGTGTGTTTGTCTCTAAATGCTAACCAAAAACAGAGATGGAACTAAATTACAAAAATATAGAGAAATAGCAAAAGTTGAGAGATATCTTAAGTATTACTTTGTACTTATTTTGTAGCTCATCCTTTAAGATATATAGTCTACTATTATCCATATTACCCTACTGTCACTCTGTAATTTATAATATTCATAGTGGTTATGAGAGAGATTTACCAAACTAAAAAGGTTGGGTAAAGGACCCTTAGCTAAAAAGGAAATAAAACATTGTCCCCCAAAGCAGCACAGATCAAGTTATTAATTATAAATGAAATAAGTCATTCCCCACACTGCACTGCTACAGCCTAGCATGGCTAGACTACAGATTTGAACTGTAAAAGTGAACATAGTCAAGTCTGGGAATACTTTCAATTGAGAGTCAGTTAATATGGAAGATGCTAGCAGGGAAAAAGGTAGAAAGGCCAGAGGTGGAGAATTTTTTTTAAAAAAATGGTCCTAAGAAAAAAGTAAAATAGCAAGAGAGAATCTTCCCAGTAAAACTTCAAACTAGGCCATTATCTAGAAAATAGGTATTCAACTATTTTTATATCTCCTCTTGTTATCATCTGCTCCCTTAGACCCAGACCTCTTTGCATCAAGGAAACCAAGGTCAAGGGTGAGGGATGTCAGGCTGGGAATGTAACGTTTCATCACAGTAAGAGATTTCATTCCAATATAGAACTTCCTCTGTATAGTTATTTGCACAAATTTGACCAACTTTAAGGAGCAGGCGTGCCAGATCCAGGGCTGGGCTAGGAATGGGGGAGTCTGGAGCCAGAGGCCTGTTTTCAAATTCAGACCCCTATGACTAGCTATTGAAGCTTGGCCCTCTGTAGCACTTCCTCGTAGGATTATTAGGGGTTTTACATAAGATGATATATGTACAGTGCTTGAGATAAAGCCAAGCAGTCAGTATGCGCTCAAGGATTAGCTCTTGGGATTCATTATCATCCAAACAATCAATTGGCTTTCTTCAACAGCTGCCTTCTGTAAAACTACACTGAACACAGTGTTTTTGAGAGAAAAAGTGAGAAATACAAATTATTGCTTAAAGCCCTCACTATTAATACCAGAAACTAAGCCAAAAAAAAATTTAAAAAGGCAGGGGAGCAAATGGGTAGGGGGAATTAACCTTTTTTAAAGTTCTATTAAAAGCTCTATTAACAACACTGATTTGCAGTTCTGGGCTCACTCTCGCCACGAACACACACTTATTAACAGGCAGTATTTTACCGGCTCAGCAGCTCTCAATTTCCACGTAAGTATCTGTCTTATCAAGATGACAATGCAGTGGGGAAAAAAAAGACACCAATACTCTCTGTGGCTTGTAAATTTTCATCTGTGGCCTTGATTCCTGGACGGTGTCACGGTGCATTTTGCGCACTGTTACATTTCTTCTCATTTCATTCTACAGTTGTGAACATATCTATACTGATAAACACGGACTTTAAATAGGATTTCTTTACCACAGCACATTAATGTTAAAAGGTGCCTTCCAGATGGTCACAGCAGTCGGAAACCAGGAGGGGCCTGGCAGGAAGGCGAGGGGAGAGCTAGCGGCACTGGACGGGATGGGCAGGAATCAGGCCACAAGCCATCACTCTCGGTTCCCATCACCACGGGACCCTGCCCCCCACCCCCCCATGTTTAACAAGCCTGACGCTCTCTTTTGGGCACATTTGGTGATCACAGTCTTATACAAGTGAATATTCAGGCTGGAAGAAATGAAACAAAACTTCCATATATTGAAAAGATAATTCAGAAATCCCACGTATGCCCATTTCCCTCAGAAGACTGAGGGAGATTTAGAACCTCAGAAAAGATTTATCTGGAACGAATAAAGGAAGTTTATGGCTTACCTCACAATTCTAATGATAAAGATAAAACCCTGATTTCATTGCTAAGTTATGATCCCACAGAAGCCACACATCCAGCCATCCCTCCTTATCCAAGATCCCCAGTAGATGTCTAAAACCATAGAGAGTACCAAACTCTATTTCCATGGACTATGTTTTTTCCTACACACACGTGTCTATGATAAAGTTTAATTTATAAATTAGGCACAGTGAGATAAACAAGGGTTACTCGAACACAAGCAGTGCGATACCGTGATAGTCCACCTGATAACCAAGACAACCACTAAGTGACCAGGGGACGGGGAGCTCATGCAGCGTGGAGATGCTAGACAAAGGGATGGTTCATGTTCCGGGCGGAATGGAGCAGACGGCATGAGATTTCATCCCTCTGCTCAGAAAGACTCACAATTTAAAATCTGTGAATTGTTTATTTCTGGAATTTTCCACTCAGTGTTTTTGGACCATGATCGATGGCGGGTAATTGAAACTGTGGAAAGTGAAACTTTGGATAAGGGGGGCACTACTGTGTCTTCGATCCTTGTTAAAAAGGATTCTCTAGAAAAAAGAATCTGGTCCCTTTAAAAATTAGAAATGTTTTAAAACACTAGAAACCTAAGCAGGTGAACAGATAATGAGCACTAAGACCTCGAAGGACAGGGTGTTAAGGAAACATTTGATTACTAAGAACAGTAGCGGACATTTACAGAGTGCTTCCATGGGCCAGGCTCTGCCATGCTAAGCCTACTAGATTCAGTAACTCAATCTTCCCAGTGGTTCCATAGATCAATAATGATTCCCATTTTCTTAGGAGAAGACTGAGGCTTATGAGTTCAATAATGTACCAAGGCCACACAATAATAGTTTAAAAGCAGCGATTCTACGCCAGGCAGGCTGACCTGGATGCCCACACCGTCGCCCCCACAATGCACTGCCACCACAATCACTCCAGAGATGTCAGAGGGTCAATCGCTGGTCAGCAAGAGGGAGGAGCCCTGGGGTGGACTCTGCCTAGGGGGATATGTGCAGGGACAAGAGAGCTTGCTTTGCTGGCAATTCAAACAAAACAAAACAATAACCTTAGTTCCCATGTTGTCTAAATTCCAGGAATACTGACAAATATGTTTCATACTCTCTTCTGTGCACAGAGCAAGGCTGAGGAAAAATAATTTAGAACATCACAGTGATGACAGCAAAGTATGTTTTTAGGTCCACCCAAAACTCTCAGATTACATCCATAAATGTTTTGGAACTATTCCCAAAAACAAAGAACAAATAGGGCATTTCTTTTTATAAATTTCTATTAGTCATCAGTTTCAACAAAAAAAGGGGGGTGTACTTACATATATATGTTGTATAAGCATAGAATAATCTTGAAAGGAGATAGAGAATCCCAATATATGTGGCCCCTCTTGGGAAGGGGGACTGGGAGATGTGTGTGTGGTGGAGAAGGAGGGGTGTAGATACTGTGAAGCTTATATTTCGTTAAGACCTACGCAGTTACTGTGTGCATGTCCTATTTTTCAATTTTCTAAAAATGATTCGATTTCAAGTACTTTTAACATTTGATACCTTGGAAGCAATGAAGAGATTGAACAATCAGGAAACCCAAGTCCAGGCTCTGGGATTAACTCCCAGCATGACCTTGAACAACATGACCTTGAACAGAGTAGGGCCTCGCTACTCTGAAACCAGGGAGCCAAGGGCGTGGAGAGGAAAGTCTACTATAAAAACTAGAACAGAAACCCCAGGAGAGCATGGCCCTTGTCTGTCCATCCACAGTGCTGCATCCCTAAGGCCTGGCACATAGTAGGGGCTCAGTGAATACGAGATGTAATTGTACCTGAATTGACCTGAACCACAGCTCCTCTGAAATCTCAGAGCATAGTCTACCTGTAAGGAAAGAGAATGGCTCACGAACTTGGACCTGATCCAACACACAGCTCTAACAGACAAATAACATCGGAAGGTCCCCACAGGAGACCAAGATCACCCTGCCTGGCGAAGGCTGATGTCAAAATGATCGCTACTGTGAGCGAAACTGAATAAGGATTTTTCTCCCTTGTTGGAGAAAGCAAAGCTCCCTCGAACTTCAAAGCCCACCGAGCATGTTAGCTCCAAGGTGTGGATTCTTCCCCACCTAGGGCCTCTCACTGGGAAAAATTACTCCCTCTGAGCCTGGTTCTTCACCCATAACTCACAAGGCTGCAGTTTCTTTTTACAAATATATATACTATCACCCCTTTAAGACCAGCGAATCAAATGAAGGGGTTTCCATTCAAGATCGTTTTGCTTTTTATATAAATATATGTATTTTCCCCTGAAAAATATACAAGCTACAGAGAAAAATATTAACTTACTAGTGGTACCTGCCGTTTCTCACCATCTTCTCCCTCCCTGGAGAGTTAATAAAAGTGTGACTGCAAATAAAGCATTGTAACTTCCGCGAAGCCCCACAGGGACCCTCTGTCACACTGCCTGTCACAGAGTTCAGCAGAAAGTGTATTGCCTCAACGTTAGAGAAAATGACACCAAAGGTCACCAAAGCTGACCTTGTGATTGGTCAAGATGTTCTGGAGGGAAGACACATGACCCATGAAATCATCTTGGCAAAAAGGAGCAGAGCAGAGCCCCAGCAGAGTGGCATAGTTGAGTGCAGAATACTTCCCAGTCCTTCCTACCTCTTAATTTAAACCATCCTCTTATCTTTACAATGAAAGAAACAAGTCAGCAGAACTTTTCAACTGCCTTGTAACTAATTCTGGTTCCACCTCCAGTGAGAGAGGAATGGTTATTTCTACGGTCCTCTTAACATAGACAGGAAAATCACCCAAATTCCTAAGGGATTTGCCAACTATCTATTTCCAAGATGCTGTAAGAGACCAAAGCTCTAATGTTCTAAAGAAGGAAAAAGGGATTCACAGAACCCAAAGCTGATGCTTGAGGAATGTGTTAATAAATAACTAAGGCCACCAAGAATAAGATGAAAATTATTGATAATACTAAATATTTAGTAATTACTAACTCTGTGCCAAGAACTGAGTTAAGGACTTCCCATATACATTATGGCACGTAACTCCAGTAACAACCTCATTTTAAAGATGAAGAACCTGAGATTTTGAGGGGTTAAATAACTTGCCTAAAACCACTGGTAATTAGGGGCACAGTTAAAATTAAACTTAAGTGGTTTAAAACTCAGCTTTTAATCACTAGAATAAATTACTTAAATAAGAATTAATAGAACAGTTTCAATAACAAAACAATTTAAAATAAAGACCAGTGATAATGAAGACAAGGCAATGGCATATGCACGCTGAAAGCAATTTGATTTATTTAACTTTGAAGAACAAAAGCTTATTCTTCTAAGAAGAAATCAAAACACATTTTCTGTGGAAAAAAGAAACCATTTTAACTGCATTGCCAAAATAAATCAGGCAGAGGGCAAGTCAGATCTAACTACTCAGGCCAAGGGAAAAGGGTGAAAAGTATAAGGGCAAGAGGAGACAAACAACTAATTTTTTCAAAAAGAGAAAGAAATCCTGCCCGAGTTTTGATATTGTTCTGTTTAGGGCATTAAGTCTAGTTCCTAGTATCAACCACCTAATTAAAAAAAGAAAGAAAGAGACCTAACAAATGAGTAGCTATGCATCTGAATATCTGAATCAATTCTACAGTAAAACAGTAAAACAAGGCACTCCTTGTTTAAACTATTTGGCTAAAAATCCAAATTTAAACAAAAGCATTTTTCAAAAACAAAAAACAAAAAACGACAACTCTAAAAACTATTAGACTTAAAAAAGACACATAACACTCCTGTCCTACGTACTTTATTATCCACATTTTGGAGTAAATCTTTCAATTTGGGCCAGAACAAGAGATTAGGGCCCAGAAGGAAAAGTTTCAGGATTTCTCTATTTGGAAAATCAAGTCATGTTAAATATCCCAAACATACTCCTTCTGGGGATGAGAAATCTAAGAAGGCTAGCAAGAAAAATTTTAATGAATACATAATTTTTTAAAAATGTTAACGAATAGTCCCTTCCCTCCTTTTTTAGAGTTCGTGCTCTGCCGGGGTCATTGGACATGGCCACTCAACAGATGCCAACCCCAGGAGGCTCTCACCATATGTCCTGCTTTCCCTGGACCCAGCTGAGTGGCAAAGGCTGTGACTCCTGAAGCCAGGCTGCCTGGGTTGGACTCTCAACGCCATCACACGCTTACTGGTAACTCTAAACAAGTTGCTTAACTTTCTGTGCTTAAGATCTTCATCTGCAAAATGGGATGCTAACTAGTTCCTACCCGTCACTGCTGTGAGGATTAAATCCATTAATACATGGAACATGCCTTTCAAAGCATGCCTGGTACATCGTAAATACTCAATAAGCAGTAGACATTATGATTAAATTGCTCCATGACTCATGAGCATTCATGATAATATCCTCTCTCTGTTTCAGTTTGTTGGAAAATTTCCGTAATAAAAATTTTTATTTTAACTTCAAAATTAATGCCAAGATGAAGGCTCAGAAAACACATTCCCCTTTTAAGTCATTCGTGTGCTGATGTGGATGGCACGACACACTATGACTACCCTCTACTGAGAGCCAGATACATGCCAGACACTCCCTTGACACTTGCCTTAATCATTAATTTAATATCCTATTTCATAGTCAAAGAAACGGAGAATAGGGGCAGTTAAGTACAATTTCCAACTGGTAAAGTAAGGGTGCAAGTGCATGTCTTCTAATCAAATTCAATGCTCTTTTATAAAATCCTGGTGGATGACTATGTACTTTGCAAGGAATATCAAATTTAAACCAGTTAGATGTGGTCAGGACTTCAGATGACTAGATCTGATTCCTATAGTCAGACAAAAGACAGATTTTGGAGCAAGAAAACCAGCTAAGCAATCCTAATTCTTTAATCTTCCCAAATCTTGACTTCTTCCCTCCGGTCAGTAGTGGCCAAATCCAGCCAAAGGACATTAGCGGGGCCCTAATCGGCCAAGCCTTGCACTTCCTGCCTGACGGTGAGCATTATCTTCTTCCGGGTCTGCTCCGTCTCCATCTGGACACAGGGCCAGCTTGATGACTCATACTCAGACTGTCACTACCACCCACGCTTTCTTTGCAGCTAAAATGGCTGGGCCTTCCTCACCTTAGATTTGAATAGCCAGATGCTTCTCTTTGCAGACAGACTTTAACCTGAATCCTTCTCTAATTTACCAGGGTCACTCAGGATTCCAATTCTAACACCTAACATACCATCTACACTTTCCAATAAAACTTTCTGCAGTGATGAAATGTTTTGCATCTGCACTGTCCAGTATCCAGACCCTGTGGCCCTCTGTGGCTGCTGAACATCTGAAATGTGATTAGGGCAACTGCAGAACTAAAGTTTTAATTAACTTAAATTTAAGTAGCCACAGGTGACTCGTGGCTACCATATTAGACCAGGAAGCTCTAGATCACTGGTGGAAGCGTTCTCCCTTCATGGGTCCAGGCTGCCCCTTCATGAGCATCCTAGGATGGTAGAAGAGTGTAACTGGTCTTACAGCTGGAGACCCAGGTTCAAATCAGCTCCTCTTTCCAGCTATGTAAACCTGAACATGTAGCTTATCTTTTCCATTCACTGGGTTATCATCTATAAAACTAGGATAATAGCATGTATCCCATTAGGAGATGTTTATAATGGTGACATGTGAGATACATATCAGTACAATGCCCGGAAGAGCAGAAGACTACATTAGCAGCTTTTGTTACCATTTTCATCATCCTCTTCCTTTTCCTAAATTCCTCTTGGTTGCCTTCTTAAGGCACCAGTAACTGGCTAAGAAGCCAAAGACAGATTTCTGCTCTGTTCCTCTTCTTTAAAGAAAGGCTCTGTTCACCTCCTAAACTCAGGGGAAGGGGCCAGATCTCTCGGAAGGCAAGACTGAAGTAACTAGTGCTGGAAAGCTATCAGAGCCCCCCGTGTCTACACAATCAGGAGCACACTCTTCCAGATTACTTCCAGGTCATCCTCTGAGCCTGGGCGGATAACCAGAGAAGCTTCGCTCAAAAACCACTTCTCTCACCCACTCAGCTATACCAACCAAAAGTGAATGAACAATTAATAACCAGCAGCACTGACTGAGCGTTTCTTACATGTCTGGTCCTGGGCCTCATGTGCCATCTCATGGAAATCTCATGCCACCCGCTTAGGCAGGGAGCACCATTTCCATTTTCCAGTGAGGCATGAAAAACCAAACACCTTGCCCAGGCCTCAGTGCTAGTGTGTGGCAAACCGGCATTTAAACCTGCTTTCCTGACTTCAGGGCTCAGATTAACACTGCTATTTCCAGGGGCCTTCGAGGACCCCACCATCCACTCTCTCGAGACCCACCCTCCCCTCTTATGCCTTAATGTTCAGGCTCTGACGGTTCCTTTATAGATTTTGGAGCATGATCACTCCTGAGTCTTCACACTCATCCCTTTACATATAATAAGAAACATGAAAAGGATGAATGCTACTCAAGCCAAGACAGGAAGAAAAGAGTAAGATAAAAGCTAAGCCAATATTAAATTATTATAGGCTTTTTTTTTTCTTTTAAGCAATAGCTCCCAAAATTAAAACTCCCAAACCAAGAAGCCTTCGCTTTGCTTTTAAATTGCTTCAAAATATTTGGAGGAAACAATAATATTCCTACTGAGAGTATTTTAGAACTATGGCACATCAAAGAAAACTGGTTTTCAACTCAATGGAAAAAGCTTGCTCTAGCCTTTAAAAATCACAGTTTACCCAAAAATGACAATAAGATTATATTTCATTTGGCCTGCATGGTTTTTAAAAGAAATCTAATATGCTTGCAACATTTAAAAACCTGTGGAGATTTCACATTTAAAAGGTCTAGATTTCTAAATTTTTTTTTTTTTTTTTTGCGTAGACTCTTACATTAAGTGCCTCTGCTTTGTGGTAATGCAAGCTCTATAGATGGGTTATGTGGTTTCTGGTTTGCACAATCCCCATCACTCCAGAGTGTGTCATACGTAATCCTCTCCTCGTTATCATGCAGGCCAAGCCCCTGGGGGGGGCCCCCACATCTGCGGCCTCTTTATAAGGAACTCTGGACAGACGAGTAATCACATTCGGTCTCCTCCAGTCCTGCCAGTTCCAGGAGAGCAGGCTCAGTTCCCTGCCAAGTCATTGCTATACTCCACACACCCCGGGGAGGCTCTTAGTACCTTCCGCCACCACGTACCACCCCGTCCCCAGTGTCACCAAAACTACAACTCACCTGCTACTCTGTGTCACTTTGTTCTCTCTTCACAGGTGTCACAGGGACCTCCCCATTGACGCTTTCGGTCCCACTAACCGACATCAAACTTCTCCGCTCCTTCTGATTTGACTTGTGTTCCACTTTCGTGACTCTAAACCTGAGGGGCAAAGAAGAGATATGATGGGTTTTGCTCTTCCAGTAAACAAGAATTATGGGTGAATCAAAAATCATCCCCCCAGAGGATCCCAGCCCAAAGTTAGGACAGAGGGGCACTCTTGCCAGCAAATTCCCCTGCCCCGGGCAAACCTGCCGGCTGATTTTCACTTGATGCATGTCACGGACTACTCTGGATACTTTACAGAGCATGGAAAATGCATTAAAAACATGGTGCTCAAGTATTACACAGCCCCAGAGTTGTGGTTTCTAAAGCATCAGTTGTTTTAACCACAAAAGGCTGGATAAAAGCATGAGTAGTTTGCAAATTGGACGGACGTAATGACATAACCAAAATGTTCACTCCAGATATGACTTACACAAAGTATACCTGTCAGAGAATCCAATCTCCACATAAACACACACGCACACGCCCAACAGAGCCCCAACTATGCATTTTATCAGTTATTGGTCAGAATGAGGTTTTGTGTCCAGTTTTTGTCGTTTTTTGTTTTTTGGTTTTTTTTTTTTAACAAATTTGGGTTAATTTTCATTAAAGTTTAAGAAAAAAGTTAAGGAAATTTTCATTAGTGATTAAGAGAGGTTAAATTTGCTGAATTTGACTGTTTTCCTACTCCATCATCATGAAATCCCTGAAGTCTTTCATAACAGCTTCTTTCTAGTTCTGGCCTTAAGTTCCTTTAAAACGATCTCAAGTAAATTCTTTGTCCAAAATGAGATTACACACCATCAGGAGGAGAGAGACTAAGTAAGCGAAAGGAGGATTAAGGAAACGTTGTAACCACAGCTCTACCCTGTCAAACTGAAGACCCTGCAAGCAGCACATGCTGAAAAGCAGGCTGCTAACAGTCAAATGCTCCTAGTATTTCTACACCAAAGAAAGAGAGCTGGACTTGGGGCATTTAAAAAAGGCATGTTGAATCTGAGTTGAACAGTTCAGCAGATTTTTTTTTTTTAAAACAAACTATGCTTTGTCTAAACAAGCTACAGGTTCTCATTACATTCAGCATTCAAAAATTCCCATGACTCTGCTTCTTAATAAAGCAGCGTGGTCATGAGTTGTACTGTTTTGCTGGAAGTGGCAAACAGCCCTGCAGTCTCCTCATTGCTTATGCTACACATGATGAAAATCAACTGAGTTAAAATACTAATAATGATGATGATGATGATGATGATAACCACCATTTCTTGAGTGCCTTAAAGTGCCAAAAACTAATCTAAGACTTTTACCTAAATCAACTTATTTACTCACAGCAACTTAATGAGGTGAGTGTTATTTTCATCCCCGTTTTATAGAGGCCGGAACTGAGGCAGGGAGAGAAGCAAGAGTTTTTAGGTAGTGGTACCAAGACTCAAACGAGGGAGATGCAATGAGTCCAGGCTGCTCTTCCCACAGTTTGTCAGTAGAGACAGAAGGGTCACATATGCAGTACTGTCAACTTTTGCTCGGTGCTTCCCCAGTCTGGCTTCAGCATGCACGCTCGTAACCATTACTCTCTTCTGCCTGTCTAAACGTAGCATTAGCAATGCAGTTCCTGCGTGAGACTCAGAATCGAGACAGCAGATACTGCAAAAGCATTCCACTGCGAAAACACTCTACATGTAGTCGAAGTAATTCGTCGCTTGAACTGCAAGATCTCCACATCATATGGATCACACATAAATAGTACTTTAGGACTGGAAAACCCAGGACTCAGGTGAGGTGAAGTACATGGAAGCAGTCACAGGACTCTACATGGATCTTACGTGGCACCGACTGGAGAGCAGTGGACCAGCTCCATCGCTTTCCTTCTTCCTGGCACATGGCTGGACACATTTCCCAGACACCTGGCAGTTAGGTCAAGCCAAGTGATGGAGTTCTAGACAGTGGAACGTGAGCAAAATGAAATGTGCCACTTCCAGGCCCTTCTCACTAAAACCTCTTATGAACAATACTCTATGTACTTTCTCCTTCCGCTAGCGAACCTGGCAGAGCCACGAGGTGGATGACCTGGGACTCTGGATGACTGCTTGAAGAGCCACGCACTGATCTGCTGATTTCCACAAGTGAAACATAAACTTCCATTCCATAAACAGTTGATATTTGGGCTTTAACTATTACAGCAAGTGCGATGGTTAATTTTATGTGTCAGCTGGACTGGTAAAACTGTTATTTCTGGATGTGTCTGAGGTGTTTCCAGGAGAGATTAGCATTTGAATCTGTAGTCTGAGTAAAGGTCAGCCTCATCAATGTAGGGGCATCATCCGATCCCCTGAGGGCTTGAATAAAAAAAAAAGGGAGAGGAAGGGTGAATTCGCTCTTTTTGCTCAGGCTGGGACACATGTCTTCTCCTGCCCTTGGACATCAGCCGTCCTGGCTCTCAGGCCTTTAGACTTGGACTGAATTACACCACCAGCTCTCCTGGTTCTCCAGCTTGCAGACAGCAGCTCATGGGGCTTCATGGCTTCCATAATCGCAAGCCAATTCCAATAATAAATCTTCTCTCATCTATATCTATCTATATTTTATTGGTTCTGCTTCTCTGGAGAACCCTAATACAGCAAGTAATTAATTTTTTACCTCGATTAATACATCTGACATCTGATCCAGCAATAGCTACCTGTCAAGATTCCTCTGCTGCTGGAAAAAATGCAGAACTCAGACCAGATAACTCCTGAAAAGCCCAGAGGTAGGACCCGAGCCAGGCTAAGCAGAATATACTCTATAGTTAACAAGTCAGTACGAACCCACACACCACAGCAACAATGTCATACAAAGCCAAAGCATCCACAGGGATCTTACCTGCCCACTGACAGGACAGTGACCTCTCCTTGACGCCTTGGACGGCCTTCTTTGGACTTGCTGGCGGGTTTTATGAAGTGCCATCGCTTGTGCCTACACCGATGACACACATCCCTCTCGACAGCACCGCCCACTGTGTGCAGATGGTGGCCACAGATGTGCTTCCCTGGAGTGCCACCTGGTGACAAGGGCCCAGGGCTCACAGGTGGGCTCCCAGGAGTGCTGGGAGTCACAGGGCTAAGGTGGAAAGAAAAGGTAATGTTAGAACTGATTACTTAAAAAAAACACCAGCTAAGCAATCTCCCCCCGGCCATGTAAGAAGCAGGTTTAAATCAAAAGAAAAAAAATGCCTCTTTCATTTAAACAAATGTGCTTTGTGAACTGGTCTTAGGCAGCAAATACTCAGCTCTTATGACTATGCAATGACAGCTCATTCGAAACAGCAGTAATGTGATTTATTACTTCTAGAATGGAATTACTGGCTAGAAATAAGCCCCTGCTTCTAATGATGACGCACTGTTTGTCTTTAAAGGAGTACATTTCTTATAAATGACTGATCTCCATTCTCATGCAACCATACTAATTTCTCACACATAACAAAATGCCTGCCTAGATTTCTAAGCAAAGAAATGCTTTGGAGGATTGATAAACTTAAATTCAAATCAAATTATCAAATTACTTAGAATATTTGATCCAATCTAACTAATGCATCAAGGAAGAAAGCTTTTAGGTTAAGATATCAAAAGTGGTGCTCAAAAGAGATGCTGATGGAATTGAAAACAGTAATACAAAATAGCTAACAGTAGTCTAAGCATTTAATGTATGTTAATTTAATTAATATTTACAGAACCTTATAAGGTAGGTATTATTAATTTCTTCATTTTAAAAATTCGAGGCTCAGAGAAGTTTAATAAATTGCCAAGGTCACAGAGCTAATAAGTAATGGATCCGAGCTCCAAATCTAGAAAGTCTTAATTCTAGAAACTATGATCTTAACCATCAGATAGTGGTAAAAACAAAGCGATCGCTTTGATAATCTGGAAGAAATACAGCCAGACCATCCAAAACGAAAAAAGCAGAAGCATATAGGGCAGAGGTTGGCTACTCTCCAAAGGCACATGTCAAGGCTCTGGTCCACTAGGAAAGGAGGAATGAAGCCAGGACAGCGCTAGCCTGACCAGGAACCAGCCCTCAGAGGTGGTGTAAGTGGCTGTAGGTGGGTGTAGGTGGGGCGCTGCGTCACAGCAAATTCTGCCACCTGAGACTGTGCCAAGAGCCTCAGAGGCACATGGAAGTCTTATGACTGCATAAACCAGCCTTTATGCTGCTGAAACCAGCCTGCTTGCACATTAAGGAAGAAGTGTAGCCCATGGCTGAGGAGACAGTTTCAACCAATAGCGACCTGGTACTCTTTAGGGGATGCTCTTTAGATTGTTAAAATAAAAACACTCAGCAGCAGCTTTAGGTAAAACAACATTAAATTAATACCACACAGTAGAAGGTCGAATTCAAAAGTTTAACAACATTTGTTCAACAATCATTTATCAAGCACCTGCTGTGCATAAAACCCCATGAAGGCATTACATGATGCCCAAAGGTGACAGAGGCAAAGATACCGTGAGCTAACACCAGGTGTCTGTGCTTGGGGCTGGAATGCAGGAGAAGTCACAGCTTGTATGTCCTGTGACTACACCATCAGTTTCCTAAACTAACCTTCCTGCAGAGTCACCATGCTAAAATGCAAGGCTAACATGGCCCGTCTGACGAGCACATATTAAATAACTGAGATGGGCTGGGTGCACCACCTGCAGAATAAAGCAGAGAAAGGGCCACACTCCCTGCCATGTCACTAGGTCCCAACTGGCCTTCCTGGTCCTTCTTGCTATTCTCACCCCGGACTGAACCTTCCCAGGTGTGTCCCACACTTTTACATTCCAGGGCCTTTTCTCCTGGTCTTTCTCTGCCTACAAGCTGCCCCTGCCTCTTGTCTCTGCTTGTCACATGCCTGGCACAGATGGCACTTCTTCTGTGGCTCTTCCATGAGCTTCCAGTGGCCCAAGTCTCTACTTTTATAGCACTCTCATGCTCTCCACCATAAGGCCTCACACACGTCTCCGAACCCCACTAGGCCAAGTCCTCCATGGCAAGGATCTGAATGCCCAGCTCCAGCATAGCAGCCAGCATACAGCAGGCACTGAATAAATGCTCTTTATTGAAGAAATGAAAAATTATATAGCAACATCGTTCTGTAACTGATTAGGAAGGACTAAGATGCTCAACAACCATAACCTAAAAATGGTAATATAAAACTAAAACTTAGCAGGTGCCCCAAAACCAGCCCGGCTTTTCATTTACTCATCATTGTTCGTGGAGGTCATTCGATGCCTGCGGCATTTTGTATTCCTTATAATAACCCAATAAAGTTGGTAAAGTGGCTATCTACATCTTATAGGTGATGAAACTTGAGTTCAGAGTGGTCAGTTAACTTCGCCAAGAAGAGATGCTCAATAAGTGGCGGAGCTAAGACTCAACCCAGGTCCCCAAACCCAGGCTCTTACTTCCTCTCATGGCCATTCTCTAACACCGCAGTTCGGACTGCGGGTGACTCTGCCCCCAGGGCACGTTAACAACTGCAGAGACATTTTGAGGAGAGAGGGACACTGGCATCCAGTGAGTAGAGGCCAAGAATGTTGTTAAACATTCTCCAAGGCACAGGACAGTTCCCCACGACAAATGATTATCTGGCCCAAATGTCAATAGTGCCAAAGTTGGGAAACCTGCTCTAGCAAACAATTTAAAAACATGTCCCATGAAATGGAGGGAGGAGCACTCACCTTTCAGGATCATACAGGCTGTTATCTGCTACCATTGCCTTTAAAACATCAGCGTTTGCTAAGAGGTAAAAAATAACAAAAAAGTTAAAATGGCATGAAAAAGATGAGTAATCACAGAATTATCACAACTGAAAAGCTGTTGGAAAAACACCAAATTTAGTTCCTTCAGTTCACAGATGAGGCCTTGGGGCCCTAGAGAAGGGGGCGGGGGGTGCTTTCCCAAGGCAAACTCGCAAGATGTCACCAACTGCCAACAACTTTTATCACGTGGGGATTTAGTATGATCTAGACAGAGGAAAGCTGGTCTAAGATAGTTTTGCTTCCTACACATCATGACAATGTAACATTTCTCTTGTCTCGAACCACAGGGAAGATTTACATGCTGCTGCTCCTCTGAATGCAGAGCTTGTTTTGCTCAGTATGTAATAAAATATATGTCTTAAGAGACCAGTATTCTAATGATTTCTATGTGCCCAAATAATAAGCTCTAAACTCTGGATGTCCAAGTAGTATCAAGTTTATCCAACATATAATCCTGCATATAATATAATTTTCCAGGTGGGCCGTTCGGCTTACCTCTGCTTCCTTAACACAGAAGACCTTAGCTCAGGCCAGACAGCTTGAAATTTCAAGTGTTCATCACACATACAAGTTAACTTAATATGGACTGACTTAAATTAGATTTCTAATGTTATTTTTTTTTTAACAATCCATTTTGTACATGGCTGTCAACAAAAGCAAATTGAATCTAAGCTTCTGGGGTTCCTACCCACCGCCACGCACAGACACACAATGTTCTTGTCCCCTCTTCTAGAGTGGCCAAGCTCCCAAGGACAAAAGCCTACAGTGAATTTTCACCTTTCTCTTGTATGTTTAATTTGCAAGGCCAGATGTCATTACTGACTCCTAACCTTTCCATTGCTTTTTAAAGTTACTACACTTTGCGGCGAACCACAACGAATGCTCTAGAGACAAAAGAAAAAAAAGTCACTGTTTGCCATCAGAGTTAACACCAACACGTAACAGTTCACATTCCAAATGCCATCCCTAGAGGAGGAAAGTTAACTCTGGTTCCAACACTGCTGTTTTGCAGTGTTAACAATTAAGGGTTGATACAGTGTTTCTCAACTTTTTTCATTATTGCCTCACCCAGTAGCCTTTTTTGGTATTTTTTTCCTAATCGCCTTCCCATGAAATTATAATACTACAGATATATGACATATCTGTTTATGTACTATATGTATAGCTGTGTTTTATATATAAATATTAAGCTTTTTTGACCCCCACAATCTAATTTTCAAACACAATCCTTGCAAATGCATGGGGTTTTTAAAGAAATGGTAACACGGCATACCGTCCTTTTCGAAAGGAAATATTGTCTTTGCTTTCCCTTCATAACTCTCTGTGAGGATCCACAAATGCATTTCCAAACACAAGTTTTGCTCTAATAAGACTTGCCGTGACAAAGAAAGTGCTGAAATGGATTGACAGTGTCTTCTTTCACATGACAAACACACGGTACTTCCTGATATACAAACCGAAGTATGTTCTAGTGATGTCAATTGTGTTGCCTTTTGACTAATATTAAGGATACAGGAAAAAAAAATTTCTCCCAGGCAAAGGATTTAGAAAATACACAATAGTTGGCCAGTTGAAATATCCTGTCATCATTTACCAAGCTTCAAAACTATAAATAAAAAATAGGAAAAACAACCATGAAAAAAGGTATAAAGAAAAAGATAGCAGTCATAGCACTCACTTATAAGAATGAGTTTTTCAAAAAACAGAAATTTGAATAGTTGTCTCAGAAATCACTTACAGAATGATGACGTCCTTTAGAAACACAGAAGTATAAAATGATCCCAGGAAGATTATTAAAATACATTAAAATCATCACTAAAACTTGTTTTCTATAGACTCTGTTGTTTTCCTATACCTCATCCTTATCTCTTAGAAACAATTAGTAAACAGCCCCTTTTTTCGCCCTGAGTAGTTTTTCAGAGTAGACTCAAGTTCCTGTGCAAACAGCATCCACACCTACCCTGTCTGAGGAGGTTCTTTGGTATGTGGTACACACCCACCCACACACACACACACACACACACACACACACATGCTCAGGCACAGGTGCATACACCCTTGTCTAACTTCTAGTCTACACCAGCGAGTAATCTGTCTCTTGGGAACGTTTTTGGTTTCCTGTGATGAGAAAACTCTCTAATATAACACCACTGTTAGGACTTACACACATGCTTTAATTTGGTTGTAAAATCACTATAAAAGAACAATAATCTAAGTTCTGTTGAATATATATCTCCTCCTCACTGATAACTCCAATAAGCCATAAAATATGGTGTCCCCTACACTTCTCAGCATTCTGTCAACTATACCTCCCTTCCTGGGTTTGCAGAGAATGGGAAGAGTGAGCAACAGGGCAAAGAAAACCCGTTGAGCACAGGAGAAGGCTTCTAGTGGGCAGTAATTTCCAGAAAATGTCTCTTCTTTCCTGAATTTCTGCCTGATAATATGCATAAAGCAATCAAAATCAGGCAACAAAAATTCCCTGTTTTTTCTCCTACCACTCGCTATTCTCTTCAAAGTTCTCCCTTACAACTGAGGCAAGTCTCCCAAGCAAGAACTACTAACACCATAACCAAGCGAGAGTGCCTGCTATGTGCCAGTCACTGATTAAAAGCTCCACAGACCTTACCACACCTGACTTTCCTGACAACCTGAACAGCAGGTAGAATTATCACCCCATTTTACAGACGTAGAGACCGGGGCCTAAAGATGGTAAGTGACTGGCCAGAGTCATAGTTAGTGACAGACCTGGACACAAACCCTGGTCTGTCTGACTCTAGAGTGGGTGCTTTTTGCCCTGATGTTCTTCCAACTCCTTCAATGTCTACGTTGCTACCCGAATGATCAATAGTTCGATAGTTCACTGGATGTTTGCATAATCATTACAGCAAGTTTCAGAGACCTACTCAGTAATGACAGTTTATAAAGGAATCCTTTCTGCCATAATATAAATTGAGATAAAAATATCTCAAAGGGATCCCTCTGCCTAGTGTGAATAATCTGGCATACTTGGAGAATGACTACAATACTCCTGACTGTCGCTTTATCTGATGGTTTAAGGGCCCAGCAGAGGAACTTAGCTATGGAGTTGCAAGTACTTTCCAAATACCCACACAAGGCAGAAAAACCCCAATGACCTCGAAACACTATTCAATTCAGCCCAACTTAGAAAGAAAAATTCAAGGTAGAACTGTAGTTAATCCAAGCCTTGAGACTAGGAGGAAAATAATCAGTGCCCAGGTCACCTGATAAATTTACTCTTCGAGAGATATTTATCTAAACTAACCTGACTTGCAACATTCAAGACATGATATGCTGAAACCATAAACAAGTCTGTCACCAAGAGTACAGAGGTGAAATATTACTCCATTAGCCAAATTAAAAATGGAAAGCAGATTGGTCATCTATCGTGATTGAAAATGCTTTAAAATATGTAAATATAGGCAAAGAAAACCTAAATTAACATGGGAAAATGGTGATAGATGGATTGTACTTAATCATATACCTTTTTTTTTCAATTTTACAAGAGAAGTTATTCTAGTGTATGCTTACAATTAAAAAGAATAAGGAAGTTCAATTAACATCAACAGGGAGGACTAAATTGAATAGTAGGTTCAGAATCTTTTAATGACAGAGACTGAGGAAAAATAAAAATGGGTTTGCTAAAGCTATGGAGGACTTAAGTCTCAAAGGCAAACTGAAAAGGCTAGGTTATAACTGGTAAGAGACCCAAGTATGTAACTGATCACCCAGCGGTGGTCTCGGTGCAGGCTGGAAGCTAGAGAGGGCCACAGCTAGGACAGGAATATCCAGTGAGATCAGATGTCTCCTGGTGGCCACGGAAGACCAAGGGCTTCACAGAGGATCAGAATCCCCGCCGATTCTCACGGGCCAAATCACAGGCAGACAGGGGAAGGCACTGACAGGAGAAGAGGGTAAAGAATCAGACGGAAGGGAAAGAACCAGCGAGCAGAAGAGAGAGAATGAAAACTGTGCCTCGGGTGTTCCTCTAACGTACCTACTGGTAATCAATGCAGCAGAAATAAAAAGGCTACTGTCCAAAAGGAAAAGGACATAATTTAAACAGAAAAGAACAGACCTATCTGCCCTTGAGTGTGGGAATGTGGAAATTATATGATACGCATGCTCCAAGGACCGGACCGCGCCCCCTCTGCTGTAATGACGAGAAGGGCCCCCTGCTGGCACCATCCTGCCATACACTGGGGTGAGACCACGGGCAAGTTTCTTCCCCTCTGGGCCTCTGCTGCCTTGTCTGCAAAACGGGGTGGCAACAGGGCCCACCTCACAAGGTAGTTTTGAGAATTTAATGAGTTCACATTTCCTGAGTTTTATAATAGTGACTGTACGCTTTACCTCTTTGAAGGGAATAAGTTTACCAACCCGATTGCCTGTTACCACCAATGGGGCAGTAACAGCAAGTAGTTAAGTATAGACTCTAGAGTCCGATGCTAGAGTTCCAACCTCAGCTCTCCACTCGCCAGCTGTGCAACTTTGGCAAGTTAGTTAAGCACTGTGGGCCTCAGTTTCTCAACTGTAAAATGGGAATAAAGCATCCAACTCATAGGGTCATTAGTTCCTACAAAGCCCTTAGAACAGGCCGGGCACATAGCAGACATTCAGTGAGAACCATGAAGTTATAAATACTTCAGCCCTCACAAAGTTTCCACAGTTGACTTATTTCCATTGATTCGACACCTCATCCAGCACTCACTAATTTAGCAGCTGCTTCAGCTCTCACAAGCCCCAGTCCCAAAGGCCTCCCAGCTCCCCAAAGCCATGGAAGGCAGTTTTAAATGTACAAGGCACAGGAGCAATGAAGGGGCCGTCCACGCCATGCCTCACTGTGCACTCCTGTAATGGCTGAAGCTCTTATGCCAAGAACATACCTGCGTATTTCCCATGTAAATTAAAAACCACCTTTTTATGTAAAAGAAACACGCACCATCAAGTGCTCAAGAATAGTGTCGCCAAGTTTTTTTTTTTCCCTGAAGGAAGGTCTCTGGGAGACAGAGATCAAAATCCAAGTGTTCTGGTTTGCTTTGGTCTTATTTTTAACACCATTCTATTAAGTTTATTATCTTGTTTTACATTCGGTAGAAACTGAAAACTACAAACTAGGAGAGAAGAGAGGCGACGTTGCAGAGTCGAGAGAGACCCAAGCAGGCCTGGGCTGCTCGCTGACCGTGTGACCCCAAGCACTGGGAGCCTTCACATCTCTCTCTGTAAAATGGATATGATAATACCACCTTTCGAGAGATATTTTGGGGATTAAGGGAGATTACACACAGAAAGCATTTTGATCTGTACCAAATACATAAAGCACACTCTATAAGGAACAATGAAAAAATTATGCTGAACCATATGCAATGGCTGTTCCTCTACATCAATCGCATTGACTGACAGCCTGGGCCAGGCGGGTGCTCTTCTTGATACTGAGAATGGGGGGTAGAAAAAGGCTAGGGGCGGAAGGAGCAGGTATTTACTGGGCAGTACAGAGGTATTTCAACTTCTGGACAAAAGGCTCAGCTGCATCGGTGCACAATGTATGAGTTAGCTCTGACTAGAGTAAGGCAGAGCCCAAGGAAAAGGTTTTCTTTTAAATTTTCGTGAGAATGCAAAGTGTGGGGATCATGGCTATGGGGTTTGTGGGCAAGAAGTTGCACGCACCTCAAAAGTCACTGACCACATGGCATCGTCCTCTGCAGATAATAACCCATGTTCAGAACAACGACCTTATTTTATCTAAATTAATCTTCCATTTAAGAAGATGGGGGTTTAGAATACCTCTGAGAGGGAAAAAAAAATGCTTAAATCCATAGAGCATAAACCTTTCAAAAGTTTCAACACTTGAGAATAGATCACAGAACAGACAAATCCATAGACACAGAAAGCAGTGGTGGCCAGTGGATAGGGGTGGGGCAAGGGGATAAAGAATGGGTACTGATTTTCAGTTTGGGATGATAAAAAGTTTCTAGCACTAGATAGAGATAACACTGTGAAAGTACTTAATGCCAATGAATTATCCACTTTAAAGTGGGTATAATGGTAAATTTTACATTATGCGTCTTTTACCACAGTTTTCCTAAAAGCACAAAAAAGGGAATAGATAATATTTGAGCACTTCTTTTACTAAGCATTTTATGTGCAGTATGTCACAACAATGCTATGAGGTAAATATTATTATTAACCTCCTTTTACAGAGGACAAATTGAGGTAATGTGACTTTCCCCATATTGAAGTGAGGCCAGGATTTAAAGGTAAGCCGTCACCTCCACGGATGACTCTGCAACCTTCCGAAGACTGACTTAGAAAACTCACTTATTTGAAACACTTATGGTTGAATAATGCTGGAAGCTGTGCTATTAGTGAGCTCAGGCAAAAGTTGCTGCCGATAACTTCAGAACATCGACAGGAAAGTCCATACAAATCCTGACTCTTTGAAACAGGTTTTTAATAAAACATATGACTATTGAATTGTTCCAAACACTACAGCAGCCATACCTTCATTTTTCATGATGTAGTGGACAATTTGCCCAACGGTGTCACTGTTTTCATTTATACTGTCATTCAACTCTGAAAGAGAAGGAGAGGGAGAGGAGGATGGGTTACAACTGGTCACCTGTATCAAGTCAATGAGACATTCAGTCTTGGATTCCAAGACCTCACCAGTCTCCAGAAAGCTCAGCCGACCACATATGGTGCTAAGAGTCTAGGCCCTCTTCCTTCAGCCCCAGACTGCCTGATGCATAGCATGCAGTGACTTCCTTGGCCTATCAGGCATAAAAAGTATCAGAGCTGTCTATCACTCTCTTTTCAAGTCCAAATACCCGCTTACTTTCCAAGATAACAATTTCATGCATCTATATAAATGCATAATGCTATTATTTCTCTCTCACCATTTTGTTAAGCCCTTTGGGGAAATGGGAAAAAGAAACCTAATTAAAAGAAAAAAATTCTTCTTGGATTTTATTTTAATTGCAGATATACTATATAAATGTAGAGTATTAATTTATTTTATAAATTGGGTAATTATTCATCCACATTTATAAGACCCTCCTTTCAAATATACTTACAAATGATCTAAATTTTGGCCATGATTATTTGCCCACAAACTCAGTTTACTTTGGGAGATTCTATATTTCACAGTCTTTGAAAAAAAAAATCAAACCTCTACTCTGAAACGGGTCTGTATAATTTGTTTCAATAAAACAAGAAGGAAGAGGGAAGTTTGAAACACTCCAGCCTAGTTCGAAGAGAATGAATCGAGGTATGTGATGTCCACCCCCGTATCTGGAAAAGCGTCTTCTCCATCCACGGTTGGCCTCCTCCTCCATGAATATGCATGTTTGGTTGGACAGTGCAAATGCTGACTGCTATGCCACCTACAGAGGAGGAGGCTCCGCTTTCTGTTGACAGCTTGGGTTTGTTCATAAGCTTACACATGACTCATCCTGCAACCCTGTTCCTTCTCTGCCTCAAAGGTCAGTGACGGTGGGAAAAACCAACAGGCCGGCAAGCTGGCAAGGAATGAGGAAGCTCGACTCCATTCTGCCCTTGGGGCTGGCTGAAAGGGTGACCTATTCCAAATGTCTGCTTTCTGCAAAAACTGCCGTTTGAGGAGCTGAAAGTGATATGGAGAGTTATCTACTAACCTCCAAAGCCCAATACAGGAAATGTCCTTAAAGGATGGTTGGAAAGAACATCCGTGGAGAAAACAGAATTTCACCTCTTAGGTTTTTCCAACAACTCCATGTTAAGAGGAAAAGGTGAGTCATCTGAAGTTAATATTAAGGCAGCAGTTTTTGTCATTCTTATACTGCACTGTTCACACAATCATTTTTTTAATAAACATAAACTCCAATCTCATAGATTTAAGATAAGACCTTCCCCAGCAAAAGTAGTGTGCCCAGGTCTATGGCCAGGCCACCCTGAACAAGCCCGATCCCGTCTGATCTCGGAAGCTAAGCAGGGTTGGGTCTGGTTAGTACTTGGATGGGAGACCACCTAGAAGACTAGGTGCTGTAGGCGTAAAAAATAAAAAATAAGGGATTGTAAGCTGACAAGATCCTTGCAATCTGTGAGGTCAACCAAGGGTTGCCTCACCTAAGAAAAAAAAAGTGGTACGCTCAAAATGGTGAGAGCTATTTAATTTTCCCATCATTGCAATTAGAACCTAACTCAATAACAATAGTAAGGATTGATATTTATTAAGTGGCCATCTGTGCCAAACATCAAATGTGCCGTCTCTCTAAATTTCCCAAAAATCCTACTAGGTGAAGATTATTGTCTTTATATAAATGAAATTAGAATTTTAATTAGGTTGGCATTAAATTAATCGAAATTAAAATAAACTATACACAGCAGAGAGTCAGAGCTTTTCTAACTTGCCTGAGGCCACGAAGCAAGTACGAGTAAATTACCTGGTAGGTATTTAATAAGCGTAAGCCTGGCTTCCAACTCTAGGTGTGGTGACAGTGAAATCTGTACTGACACTACAACACAGCATCTGCTGTTAACATGTTAACACCTCATAGAGATGGCTGGTCTCTTATTTAAAAATCGTCCCCACCCACACCCTCACAAAAAGAATCCAAGTTACTTACCTATCTTTTCAACCTTTTCCTCCTCCACGTCTTGCTCAGCTTCTGTGGTACAACGATAGCCTTTCTTCTTAAGCAGGTGGCAGATGAGGACGCCAAAGAGACCCATGATGAAGAACACAGGGACAAGCGCATACGCGATATATTCTGGGTGTCCGCTCCCAGCATTGTTGGTAGGCGACGGCGTCGTCTCTGTTCTGGAGTGCAATGTGTGGCTGCCACCACTGTCTACAGGAAGAAACGCGTGTGGCTGCGTTAGATGTCTGCAGGGGAAAGCCTGGCGACCTTGGGAAATGTTCACAGTGAATCCCAGGCTGCTCCCAAAGCCACAGGCCACGCAGACTCCAGTGGGTCTGGCAGCACAGGCACACAGGGGGAGGGCCAGGTTTGAGCTAACGCACTGCCATCCTGTCGCTGCCGCTCATAAAATGGGTTTCACCCTGATTTTTTTAAAAACCTCTCTAAGCCATCCTCTGCTTCTTCACCTGTAAGAATAACTATGGAACATGGAATGAAAGTACTGTTTCAGTGAAGTGTCCAGCACAGAGTAAACACAGAATCATTAGGTGGTATTACAGCACGGGCTCAGGAGACGGGGGTTCAAGCCTGGCTCCACCACTTAGCAGCTCTGTGACAATGAACAAAGACATCGCGATGCCTCGGTTTCACTGTGAAATGAGCATACTAATAGTACCTATCGCTCTTCTACAGCTGTTATGATGAAAAAATTAATACATGTTAACATTTAGAATCATTTCTGCAACACAGTAAATGCCCACTACATGCCAGGCACTATTCAAGGCATTTGTGATAGATCACTGGGCATCATGTCAGCTTACTGACAGATCCAGAGTAGGAAAAAGAAAGGAAAATCCACGATGGCATCAAGATTTTGGCCCAAGGGTGCAAACATAAAAATGGAAACATGTGCATTTGTTTATTCATTTGCTGATCCAAATTAACATTTATGGCATGTCTATTATATGAAAAGCTCCATGTTGGGAGCTAGATGTAGAGAGTGATGAATAAGATAACTTGGCCAGTACCATCTTGGAGCTCGTAGCGTAGCATTGCAAAGAGCGACTAAACAAGTCAACACATGGGCAGATCATGACAGATTTGAAGAAAGAATTATAGTGGGGACCTATTTTATGACTTCAAAAATAGAACAGCTAGGACAGGGAGCATCTTTTGGACAAAAGACATGTCAAAGTATCACATGGACTTACAGCAGAGGTGGCTGGGTAATTGGGTGGGCCTGCTGGCCGCCAGTTAGGCTTCCTACATGCAGAACTAAGTAACCTAAGATATAACCAACTAAGTTAACAGAAAAAGAGCAGACAGTGTGGAAAATCTGCAAAGTACCAGTTCATGGACAAAAAAAATGAAGAGAGAATTATCAAATGAAGGAGGAGTTCAGGTAGGATGAAGACTAAAGAAAAATGTGGGCTCTGATCAAAATGAAGTCCCATTATTCGGAATACTCAGATTCTGAAGCGATAAAATGAGGTTTTCTACATCAAGAAGATTCACATATACTGCTTAAGAAAATCAGAAATTGGAAAGCTAGACACATTAAATTCTAAGCTCTCCCAAAAGTATTTTGGTTAAAAAAAAAAAAAGAATCTGTGTTATGATTACATGGGGTCAAATGCCAGATGTGAAATGACCACATTTCATCACTGCAGCAAACAGTATCAAGCAGAAGCCTAATTTACAAACCAGAGGGCAGAGAACAAAGGTCTAGCTTTTTTTCACATAGAAATAATATCCACTCTCCTTGAACTTGAACATGAAAGGAAATGCCAGTTTCTTAGGTTTGTAAAAGGCTGCATTCATTATTTTGTCAGGTAACCTCTAGAATTTCTTATAACCTATACAATTTTGTAACCTGTATTTTTAACCTACATTTTTAATGATTTCTCTTCCGAGAATTAAAACAATTAATAAATAAATGAATGAATAAATATACATATACACACTAAACAGATGCAAATATATCACCTAATTAGGGTTTCACCTCAAGCCTTACTTTTAGTAAAAACCAGAAACATTTCTGACTCATTTTATAATTCTAATGTTTTATTAACTCACTTTTAATATCACATATTCCATACACTAGGAGTCAATGAAGCATGCAGCATGCCAAGACTGAGAGGTTTTACTCAGAATCATGGTCTGTTTCAATCTGAAGATGATAATAAATTCTCTTTGGGGAGCAGTAGGAAACATGAATGAAAGCAGAGGGGCTCAAAATTAGAGCCAAAGAGTTCCTCCTGAATCAGGTGGTTGCGAATGTGTCTTTATTGTTTCATTTGACATCTAGCAAACCCTTGCAAATATCGCATATTTACAGTGTTGTGATTTATGAACATGTATCAGTCATTTAACCTCTTAATTATCGTACCATGAAAAAACTGAAGATGTAAATCTAAGTTAGTGAAACGCGACTTACAGAAAGATGCAACAAAGCTAGCTGCCTGGCGTCAATAGCTTGGCCACTTACTAGGCTTGTCACCTTGGGCAAATTATTTAACTGCTCAGTGCTCTGTTTCCTCACCTGTAAAATGGAGTCCAAATGCTGTACCTTTCTATGATAATTTTAAAAAACAGCCCCAAATGCTTTGATACGACTCCAATGGAGAGGTAAGGTCTATATCTCCTCCCTTAAATATATACTCTGTGCTTTGCCTGACTAATAGAATATGTTGAAAGTGATGATTTGTCAGTTTCTAAGCCCCTGGCCTTGAGAAGCTGACGGCTTACACTTCCTGTCTCTTGGGGCACTTGCTTTTGGAACCTAGCCACCATGCTGTTAGGAAGCCCATGCTACCTGGAGAGAAACCACTAACAGTGATCAACTTGCCAACCATGTAACTGAGTCATCTTAGAAAGAGACCACGTACCCTTAGTTGATGCTGCATGGAGCAAAGATGTGCTGTTTCTGATGAACCCTGCCCAAATAGTGAATTCCTAAGCAAAATAAATGATTGTTGTTGCTTTAAGCCACTGAACTTAGGGGGTAAATTTGTAACACAGCAATAGTAACTAGAAGATTATCTCATGGAATCATTGTGAAGATTAAATATGTTAATATGTTAAGCCCTTAAAATAGTGTCTAGGAAAAGGTAAAGCACTACGAAAGTGTTTAGTCATGTCTTGATAGAACCACACTATCCAATATGGTAACCTCTAGCCACATAGAGCTATTTAAATTTAAGTCAACTAAAATGAGATAAAATTAAAAATTCAGCTCCTTGCACTAATCGCATTTTGAATGTTCAACAGGAACATGTGGCTAACTGGCTACCACACTGGACAGGTCAGATTAAGATCATTTCCACCATTCCAAAAGACTATAAAGAATCACTAAAAGGCAAAATGTTGACCGAAGAATCTACAGTGATCTACCTTAGCAATTCAATGAAGGATAATTTTTAAATCACAAAGTAACTATTCACAAATAATGCCTAAAACATTTGCTAACTTGTATAAGTTTAGCTTTCCTTCAATTTACACTAATAATTTGCTTAAAGGTGCTAAGTCCATCTTTCTCTTTCACCCCCATCTAAAAATCATATCTGAATTATGAACAAATTATTTTTTTTAGTCCAAATTAATAGCAAAAGTTGTTGCAGCATTATTTATGAAAGTAAAAAAAAATGGTAACATCTGTATGTTTGACAATGGGATAATAAGAAAATATCTAAGTCAATCATAGTCTACCATTTGATGGAATAATATGTACCATTTAAAACTATTTATGGAGATGTTATAAAGATACGGGAAAACACTTATAATCCATCGCTGAATTTTAAAAGTTGGAGTCAAAATCCTATATACAGTATGATGCAGCTAGTAAAAAAAAATGTCTAAAGGCATAAAACACATAAATGATCAAAATATTAAGTGATTCTGGGTAATTGAATAATAGGATAATTAAAAAATTTTTGTTTACTTTTCTGTAATTTTCTAAAATTTGTGCATACATATTACTTTCGTACCAAGGTGGTGGACACTTGAAAAATAGAGAGAGCAGAGGTTGTCAGCCATGTGGGAGCCACAGAGCCCTTTGTAATACTGTTGGATGCTATGGTTCCTATTCCAAAATTTTGCCTCTGATTTTTGTAAGCTCTGGACCCCAGTCAATATAAGGGTAAGTGACATTATAAAGATGATGCCCAAGTTTCTGCTTTGAGCAACATTGTAGATATTGGGTCCGTTCACTGAAATGGGAACTATCTGAAAAAAGTTTCTTTCGTGTAATGGGTTCAGTTTTGCCTCCCTTCCAATTCGTATGCTGAGGTCCTTATCCCAAAGTACCTCAGAATGTGACCTCATTAGGAGATAAGATCTTTACAAAGGTAATCAAGTTAAAATAAAGTCATTATGGTGGACCCTAATTCCACATGACTGGTGTCCTTAAAAAAAGGAGAAATCTGCAGACAGACATTCACACAAGGAAAACACCACATGACTGTGTTACTGGAGCAAAGGGGGCCATCTGCCTGCATCTAAGTCAATGAGATACGTACTGGTTTTGCAGCTAAGAAAGTAAGTGTTTATTTAGAGAGCTGCAAGTTTCAGAGACACAGGTGAGCTATTGCTCTCAAAAACCTGGCTCCTTGGGTATCTCAAGGGAATACATTACATAGGGTGAAATCTTTAGTCATGGAAATTAAGGGAACTGGGGTTGTGCGCAGTTGGACAGGGCTGGGGAACTGATCATGTGTCTAGTTCTGGGATCAGCCGTGGCGTCATCCCATCATCCTGTCATCCCATCTGATCCTGTGGCTGATGGGGCTGTTCTGCTTCAATGGGCCTGGGGCTGAAACATACCTAAAGCCAAGACATTATCCTTAGTTCAACCTGAAAATTAATATCCTCATGATTATAGATCTGAGGCTTTATTCTTAAAGAATTTGACACTAGCCAGAACCTTACATCCTAAGGCTTAGTGATTAAAAGTAGAGGCATACAAAGGTAGAAGGGTAAGGGTAAGGGAGGGGGGAAAAAGCAAGTCACAACGCATTGTCTAGGCAAAACCATCCTGAATCAAAGAAAAAGCTGTAAGTGAAATCTCAGTGAGGTGACAAAATTAAAAGGCAGAGATTGAGGTGATGTTTCTATAAGCCAAAAAATATCAAAGATTGCCAGCACACCACCAGAAGCTAGGAGAGGGGCATAGAACAGGTTTCTTCTCACATCCCGCAAAAGGAGGTAACTCT